ATTTCCCCCCCCCCCCCTTTAAAAAAAAAAAACAATTTGGCAGTTGGAGCAGTCAACAGTCAAGTCCTTCACGATCACCGCAACCAATTAGTGGATTTTTGATTATTTGTATTTTGACAGGAAAACAGTACTGGCTCAAGGACGACATTTTGTCTGAAAAGGAGACATTTCAGCTATTTTATACACAGAGTTAAAAAATATAGGAGGTAAAACTGCCCCCCCACCCCCTTATGCACATACGTGAAATACTGAGGAAATCCGAACTGTCAAAACATTTAATCACTCCTGCAGCTGTCAGGAATCGAACGACTCGGTCCAATTTAACCAAGTTATACTTAATACCGGCTTTCTTGTGAAAATATTTACTTTAAGACAGAATTATAAATAGCTGTGCGTAAACACAGAGTGCTCCCTTCCCGGATGTTTCTCATTACCGTTTCCTCATTAAAACTGCCACGTTTCCCCGTCCGAAGAGGGACAGCTTCCGAGCCGAGAGGGCCCTGTCTTGCCTTTCATTTGTCCAACAAACGCCAGGTCTTGCTAGCGGAGTCGGCTAGCCTTTGGCCGGCAGATAAAACAGCTTTCCATCGACGAACCGAAAAAGATCCTGACCGGTTACCTTTGTTTTTCCATCACAATCGGCACGGGATGTCAGTCTTAAGCTAGTAGCACAATTTTAAAAATATTATATTATTAGCCTGTCGATATTAAATAAAACCAATGGCAAGCTCACTATAAATGACTGCTTGCTATGATATCAAAATAGCGCCAGGCTAATGACAACGCAAAGTTTTTAAATAGGCCAATGGAAATCTTTACGAATCTTGAGAATTTTAATTTACTAAACACGCACAGAGCATTTTGTGTATTGTGTACGATTTAGGGCTATAGATTATGAACATGAAACAGGTTCCCTTTTGGACTGATGTTGCTAGGCTGTACTGGAAATTTCCACGCCCTCGAATATCTATTTTATTTTTATTGTATTTTCTGCGAATCGCTATTCTGCAGAGGAAAGACAACACGGTGTTCACCGATCGTGAATCACGAGTCGTAGGCCCTGGCAGTTCCCAGGATACGGCACTGATTGTGGTTAACGACGGTGATGGTGACAGATCAACGCGGCCTGTCTGGTCTGGAACTGCAAGTCGAAGAACCACAAATGACCTTCTGAAAGATCTGCACCAAATTCATTCATCCTTCGGGGAAAGGAGAAATCCTTTCAGCAATGTGAATATCTCCCCTCGTCCCCAAAGTCCCCTAATTAATCAGCTGCTGTGACTTTTGTCTTTGACGGCAGTGACACTTTTACCAAAGTATTGCGCGTATGAGCCCCGGTCAATGTCACGCGTCCTCCACACACCAAGGTCATGATGTCGCAATACAACTTCAGGTACAACCACAGAAGCGTTTGACTTTCAGGAACAAAACATATGACATTTGTACGGTTCTCCCCTGGAAATTCTGGACCTTTTTGCTGGATTTTGACCAATTCCAGTTTGGTTTGTGTTGGAATTTTACGATGAGTGAACACTTCCCCCAAAGCAGTATTTCTGTCCCCTCATATCAACATCTACCACACGTACATTGACTGTCTACTATCGATGTATCCAGCTCTTTAAACTTCCATGTTTACAAAGACAGCTAACGCCATTTTCCAGTTCCCGGTAAACTGTTACTGTTGCCATGTTCAGACGTGATGGACTGTCTAGATGAGGACAAGATGCTTGCTGGGAATTCTGCGAAACCACTAACCGCCGCTGGCCGTCGACCTCCAGGAAACAACAGTTTAGTAAAAATTACAAACACAGCTTGTGTGTTTAGCGCAAATACCTGGCTGAGTAAATACGGGCGACACGGCTTGGAAAACGGAATTTCCCTTCACGTTTAAACACCCCTTTCTGGTCGGCTGGGGCGACGCGCTGAATTTGGGCTTTACGAAACTCCGGTAATGAGTCTGCCAGCCGGCCGGCTTCATCTCTTCATTGCGCTGCCCCTTAATTCCGAACCACAGACCTCCGGTAACACCACAGCCAAACAGACCAATTAGCTGAAGCGTGAAAGCCACCCAGTACACCAAACGTAAATCCACGGTAAAGCAGGGTACTCCCACTAACTGACTTAATAAATGCCCTCATCTTTTGTCCCTGTCTGATGGGCTGTTTGTCTTCTTCGTTTTCACAGTAGTCTGCTTTTTTTAATTATATATTTCCCTTTTAAAAATATCCTTTCATGCATATTTTGAAGGCTCGTCCATTCGCTTACCTCTGTCAGTGCTTCAGATTTAAAATTAGCCTACAGAATTAGAATGAGATCCCTTTACGAGTAAAGTCAGGTTCAGGGGAAACTCTTGAAAGGTGCAGGTTTCTTTGTGTGGGGACAATGAAATGAAGGATGGGATCCGGGCGTCCTGCAAACTGCTGGGCCTGAGCACAGATTTCCACCAGTCCGGCTGTAATTAAGTCGAGGAACAGCTCGCCGGACCCTTCAGGAGGACGCACGTCACGGTCTCCGGCGAGAGCTGTTTCAGCAGGCAGACAGAGACCGAGGAGATGTGGTCCATGGAGCCATAACACAGGGCAAGGAGACCCAGGTCTCAGCTAAACCCTCAGCAAACGTTTTGCTAATTACAGGGACGCTCCTGGAGGAAGCGCTCGAATCTCCCTGAATCCCTGAAGGCAGAGGTGAAATTCTGATTGTGCCCCCCCCCTGCATGTGAGGGTAACAGAGGGGCCAGACCCCTCCCCAGGGTGGGGGCAGTTAGCTGCTGCTGACTCATAATCAAACACTAATCCACAGACTCCGTTTCTTTCCTCGTGCTGTTCTACTCTCCCCCCCGCCCCCCGCCACCCCCACTCCTCCCCAAATCCCCACCCTCCCCCACCTCGCCCACAGGCAGGCCAGAGATAAACCACTCAAGACCAGGGGGACGATAATGGACGACACTGCAGCGCACGGAATTCAATCAGCGCGGCGGGGCTGTCAATGCGGATGAGCGAGGACGGGAGAGCGGGCAGGCTGACACACATTAACCGGGCCGGGGGGGGCTTGGCGGGGGGGCGGGGGG